GTGCAAAGGGGTTGGCAAGAATGCCATCCTCCGGATCGCTAAACAAGGTCTTGACCTCCTGGTTAAACCTCTCTTGGTCATCGATCTTTGACAAAATCTCATCTACATCCTCCTTTCTGGAGGCTTTGCAAAATTGAATTTTAATGTCATCAAAGCTGGATGTCTCTACCACCATGTCCAGATCATGCAACTTGACCGATTGTGCAATTTGGAGTTTGTATGCCATGTGAATCTCCGCAATGCACCAAGCACGCGTAAAAATGTCCAAATCTTCATCCACAGCAATGACCTGCCTCATGTCCGGGTACCGACTCGACATCTTTGCCTCGTTTGCACATGGCTGTACATTCCTATAAGGGCCAAAAAGAACAGAATGTTCAAATCGCTTTTACCTAGAGACAAATCTTCCACTTATGGCACCCAAGCCATGTGGCAGTCAATTCATCTAGGGCCCCGCAGATTGGGTTATATAAGGGCTTTGCATGGCTGCACAAATGCAAGAAAAATGAAAAGGCCCAGATTTGCTGTACAGTTTCCATCATGGGGTCAAACTTGTTGAGCTCTGTCAGGTCCCAGTCCGCATTGAAAAACTTTGGAGTAGCGCATCTGCACAATGGATACAACTCACCTGTGACAGAATCATAACGTTTCCGGTCCCACTCGAGGAATTCTTGTCCCTTCGGGGCTGGTCCAAAGCCTCCGCAAATGCTGGCGTGCTGATTTACCGTGAACGCACAAATCCAATAGCTGACTTCCATCTGACCTCTCCTGCGCAACTCATCCCTAAGGGCTGGAAGCCTCTCGCCCAGGTGCAACAGGAATGGAGCATAGCTCGGTACGTCAAAGGCATCCGCCAGAACTGAGGCTACAAGGTGGCTGAAGATATTGTTCCAGTTGTGTGTCACCATTCTGCTCGCCGGCTGCCCATGATGTCCGAGCTTGGACGCATACGCCTGCCCATGTCCAGACATCTGCCTGGGAGCTGACAAAGGAATGATGGCCTGCCGAACCACATCGTTGGTGGTGCTGCGGAGAGGATGAAAGCCTGGCATCACAGATCCACGACCCAGGAGATCATAAAACTCCAGTAGCTGACCCAATTGAATGCCTCTGTCGGCCAGCTCTTGAATCTTCCTCTTCCAGGCAGCGCGCCCTCGTTCGGAAGTCGTGACATCAATCGGCATGATGCACAAAAAAGTGTTGAAACCAAGCTGTGCGCTTTGCAAATGAAACAGTGTTTATGTAACAATCTCATTTTGCTAGATAAGTCAGACTGGTATGCGAATGTATGCGACGTCTGGAAGCATGTATGCATACTTGATCGATCTTTTTCGCAGCCTGTCAATCCGCATCATTCCGTATTCATTAATCTCAAATTAGCAGAAACAGTGAGACTTTGTAATAAATTAAGATGTTATGCCAGCCTCTTTGTAAACAAACATGTTCTAAAGTGTATCAAATATCAAACAAGGCCAGGTGAGGACCCTGCATCTGACTCAACTTGCAGAGCGCTCCGGGCACATCCTTGGGCCATTGGCAGAGAATTCCCCGCACGCACGTCGTTGAAATTAAACAGGCCTCGTTGCTGGGTTGCCAAAATTAGGTTGAACGTTCAAAATGATGTCCTCTGTTCAAAAACAAATTCACAACACTGTCGCTTCCTCAAGATTTAGTTGAGGGATGGTCATACCTCTAGCAATACATCAGGGCTAGGTCCATACAGGGTGTCTCACCAATAAAAACTCCATAGAACTCTAAGGAGCCGATCTTTTCAAACGTATCCCATCTCCTAATGTAATCCACTGGTAAACTCCTTAGAATGGCCCTTAGAGTATCATCCCCTCCGCAAGGCCTTTGATTGGCCGTTGGTGAGGTCGGGCCTCGGCCGCTGGAGAGGTCGGGCCCCATCAGGGTCCGCAAAATCCATTGATTGAGATGGGCAATTACAATGGATTGCTAAAGGCTAAAGATGTGATTTTCAGACACACTAAAGACATCCAAACATCATCAAATCATATTAGTTCAAAACGGCGGCAACTTTAGATCCGAACGTCACCTAAATCATAAATCCATCATAATTTGTGTTCTTTTTCGGCTGCCTTTGGGCAGAACATTGCTAGTCCTAGATGCCCAGCACTTGCTCAAAGGGCATCCCGATTGCAAATGATTCTCGTGGTGTCTCCCATAAAAAAGATTGCCATTTTGGGGTATCCCCAATATCTGAAGACGTTGCAGTCAAAACAGGGCAACCCTTGATTATCTTGATTCCCCTTCACAAAAATTAGATTTCCGGTCTTCTAGTGGGAAATTAAAATAATCATAATCATCTGACATTCCCTCATGGCAACCACTCAACAATCAGCATACCGGAATACCCCTCTATTCCCATTCTATCCCGTCGTTTGTAGGCAAATCACACGTCTGTATCCATTTGTGATCATTTGTGGCTGGCTGTAGCCCGTCAAATGCCCATTTCTGCTGATCGCATAGTTTTTTGTTGTAAAATTAAATCTTACCCAGATGCTCCATGTATGGAATATGTACCTTCCTTTACCCCAAGTATAACCCAAATGTAGGTAAATAACATGGAGCATCTGGGTTAAATAACATCCCCAATTCCTGTTAATTACCTCATATTTGAACCAATCACCAGCCGGTCACCATGTGGAGTGTATCTGCACCTAGCGGCTCTTCAGAGCTGCTGTCACTCTCCGTGACTTCCTCCTGGGACCAGAGGGGAAGGCTGCGATTGGAGTTACTCTCCGATCATGACAGCAGCTGGAAACCAACAAAACGAAGTTCACCATGAAACCCAAAAACGGTTAGGAAATGTTCGGAAACTACGTGTAAAACATCAAGCAATATGTCCTTATTCTTATAATGTCATATAATGTCCCTGTCCCTGCTGGACTGTCTGCTCATGAAATTTGAGAACAGAAATGCAAATTTACAACTCAAAAATTGCATTCTCTCAAATCCAGGAGTCACAGACTTACTCCCGGTGAAATCAGAAAAGTTGAAAGATCAAAAGTCTGCCCTTAAAGCTTAGGCTTTGTGCAAAATTTGAACGTTGAATTCTTGAGAATCCATGTTTTTTTTTTTTTTTCCGCAAGATGTGCCCCCGTCATATCCCCTGCGCCCCCCAACTACCAAGTGGTGGCCGCAACTACCAAGTGGTGGCACCAAACCAGTTCTTGAGAAAAACACCACCGTAGTCGTTACAATTTCCCAGATGTACCCTCTGGTTATTTAACAGTTCGCCATGGGATAGATGGCCCATAGAAATAGATGGTTTACCTATTAATAGCATGGTGATTTTCCATGGCAAACTGTGAAATAACCAGATGGTAAGTGGCTGAATTATATGGTTTATTATATGGTTTTCCCAGATGTAAACAATGTAAAATCCTATTTGCCAGCAACGGTGGTGACCAGTAACGACCTATGAAAGCCGAGGATCTTATCTATATAGAGGGTTTACCCGTAAATCCACATTTTTTTCGCATCATTTTTCCAGGTTGAAGTGTTTTTTTGGGTTGGGAAACCTACCCTTTTTGTTCAGACACATCTGGGAAAATTATAACGACCTCACAAAGAACGGAACCCTGGAATGAGGATTAAGTATACAAAAAAATCCCCAGTCAACTCGTTTCAGGTAAGATTTAGTGAATTGTTGTAATTTACCCTGACACATCCACTGATACCAACTGAGATAATACCTTCACGTCACCAATCCCAGAAGCTTAGGCTCCACACGAGCCATTGAACTTCTACTCCTGGCACAGGACGGATGCAAAGGGAGTGCATTTACAATCTGGTACCCTCTGGTAAACTAACATAGCTATTGAAAATGACCATTTATAGTGGATTTTCCCATTGAAAATGGTGATTTTCCATAGTTATGTTAGTTTACCAGAGGGTATATGGAAAATAATCCATTTATAAGTTGATTTATGAATTTTATGATGATCTACCATGATTTATCTATCAAAAATCATGGGTTTTCCATGGGAAACCACCATAAAAACCATGATCTTAGGTCAGGATTTTGTTAAGTGCGGCTCTGGAAAGCTGGGGATTCCGGGACATCATGGATCAATCATTCCCCATGGGAGTTTCCATCTTTTCGGCATGGCCATGGCCATGGGTTCCATGAGTCCCACGTGGTGCCACGGGTTGAAAAAGACGCTTTTTTGCGCAGCACCTGGTCATAGCTTCTGGAAAGTAGACACCTTGAGTTACCCTCTGGTAAATTAACATAGACCCTGAAAATCACCATTTGTTAGTTGAAACTAATCTTCCAACCCCTATTTGCCAGGGTCTATGTTAATTCAACAGAGGGTACATTGTACGGAAATGTTCATGATCTCATAGAGGCTTCGTCTCAACCCAAGCAGTATGAAATCTGGTGATTATTTTTTACTTATCACCCCCATTATTAAAGCATTGATATTATATACCCATTCATCACCGCAACGGATGAATTCATATAATTAATTGCATATCATTATATATATCACACACACACACACACATATATATATATATATAAATCATGATATATCCCATTACCTCATCAAAGATCCCACTAAATCACCAATTTAAAGCAGATTAGGTCGGCCATTTGGGGGGTTACAGCTATAAGTTTGTTTATAAACCCCATTAACTAGAGTTATATCTACCATAAGCCATAGAATTCAGCCACTTATAAAGGCAACTGAATGCTATCGAACGGGGGCCCCAAATCCTATACTCCTGTGGTCTCATGTTGCCCAAGTCGCGCCTCCCACAGGTGCAGCCAGCTGAGCTGCCTACAGCTGGTGGGTCTGCCGATAGCACGGGAATTCATCAGAACTGTACCCTTTTGTGCACGGGAATTCATCAGAACTGTACCCTCTGGTAAACTAACATATCTATGGAAAATCACCATTTTTGATGGGACAACTCACTATAAATGGACCATTTTCAATAGCTATGTTAGTTTACCAGAGGGTAAGCATGGTGAATCTTAGCTATGCCCCCCCCCCCCACAAAAAAATCCAGCTGGTTAGGACGAATATTTTTACCATCGCGACAGGTTACAGTGTTGAAGTATCTAACCAAGGTCGACCAAGTTAGATGGAAAATCATTTTTTTTGGTAAGTACAGTTTAATCATCATAAATCATCGAGTCTATAAATGGTTCATTTTCCATAGCTATGTTAAATTATCATAAATCACCAATCTGAAAAACATAATTTAGGGATATGATAATTTCCTAATACTGCATTGACCATCATTCCAGTGTCTTGCAGTGAGGTCGTTAATTTACCCAGATCAGGTCGTATGTAAACCCCCAAAAGTAACGAAAAGCGGTTCCAACGTAGCTGTGGAAAATGGCAGGCGAAAACTAGATGATCATTTATTTATTAAAACATGGTAATTGCTTGAATTACTAGAGGGTATCATGATGTTTCTGTCCTCTTTGAATTATGGGCAATCCAACATTCATGCGCTTTCTTGGATATGGCACAACTGTCCAGGCGGCGAATGACAGTCACTAACAACAATTGGCAAGTGATCAAACAAATCATGAATCAACTCAAGGGGTACTAATCAACTCCTACTCTCACAAATTATTCTATCATTGTCTGGGAAAAATATGGTGTAGTAATACTTCAATAGCCTGAAGAGACTTCCGCTCTGGGATAACTCCGCCTGGGAGCTTGAGTGGCTGCCCTCGCTCTCCAGGTCCCCGATCTCCTTGAGCAGATCATCCACCTTCGATTGGTCATCCGAAACTGATGGTGCCTCGAAAAGTTGATCTTTTTCTTCGGGGTTTCGCACATTTCATCAACAATTTTCGGGAATCTCAAGGGAAACATACAGGATGGGGCCCCAGTTCGTTAGCTAAGTTGGTGAACATAATTATAATAACCATAGTGTATGATACTTACAACATCTTACAACTATATTTGGATGGGGTTATAAACCAACTTATAACTAAAGATACCACAGTTCTGGAGGCTAGACATGACGGGAGAACATGGGAGAACATGGTAAATTCAATTATATAAATTCAAGGTGAAAGTGGTATGGACTGGTTAGTAATAACAGATGATGTTTTACGTCACAAGCCCTTTTCCCGAACCTATCAAGGCTCCGCTTTGTGGTACTGTGACTATCTAAAAAATCAATTGGGATGACAAAGTGTCTATAGGAACACCTGAGGATCTCTAGGATACAAATGGGGCGACGGAGGGGCTCCTGCATGATTTATGGTTATCTGCAACCATGACGACATTAAAGTACACCCTCCGTTGGATCTGTATGATTCGTATGACTATGTAAATCTATGTAAATCTATGTAAATCTTGATATCCGATGTGAGTATATTCATATAGCTTCACTGGATTGGTTTTCCGGGACAATCTTCACCGGAAACCTTGGTTTTCCCCATGAAATTTGAGGGGTTTCCTATGGTTTCCTGTAAATTTTCCCTTACATGAATCCAGTGATAGTTATCCTTAAATGATGGATCTTCATATGACAATCCCTCGTTATGATCACGGACGACCACGGACGACCATGAGCCGATGACAGTCAGTCGTGGCAAGCCCTGTTTAACAAGTCATCCCATTAATCAACTAGGACAGTCCAAACATCAGCCCATTTCTTGGGCGAATTTCTAGATTTTCTAGGGTACCCATCATACCCAATTCCGTAAATATTGGGATAGTCAATATCTGGTTGGTAGTATACCTACCCCTCTGAAAAATATGGAAAGTCATAAAAGCCATGTTCCAAACCACCAAGCAGTTATACAGTTATACATCAGCCCTTTATTTCTAGGGGAATAACCTCGAGTCATTGGGGATGCCTCTGCCATCACTAGCCATCAGCCGGACATCGCCGCCGCAAATGTGTCGGCGACCTCATTTGCTAATGGACTGCTACTCTGTTTGCCACGTGTTGTGTGATTTTTTGGACTTGTGGGCTGGAAACTACTGGGTTTGCTGCTAAGACTTGGTGTTCTGATCAGGTTGGATCGGAATTTGCGTTGGTCAAACGTTGCTCAGATCAGACCTTGCGCAGAGAAGCCGTGCGTTTCGCTTGCAATCTGATCCGATCAACGCAATCTGATCCGATCAACGCTGCGACATGGACCTTTTGAGGTGGTACCGGCGGCATGAGCTTGTCAGCTCTGTTGGGACCGCTGTCCTTACTGATAACTAACCATTGATCCATGGTAAAGTAGGGTCAGCCAGTGAATGTGATGTAACGCTCCAAGACGCCCAGGATTATGTACAGGTGTGACATGGTGTGACCTTTCTTATGGATTGGTTTGGAGCTGGCATGGGAACGCCCCGATATCACAAGCATGGGACTCCGCTGCGACACACTCGACACACGTATGGGACTCCAAACTATCTGTTGAGCATGAGCTGCATCACGGCGATAACATGGATTGATGTAGAATATTGTGTTGATGCACCCTCCTCCAAATTTACATAGACCCTGGAAGATTATATACGTTTCACTAAACATATCTACAAACTTAAACGTGGTCTATTTTCAGGTTCTATGGTTTTCTAGAGGGTAAGACATGGTAAGACGTAAGACATGCCCGACAAGGCTCCAGACTTTGTGCACGCTTCTTTTGCGGTAAAAAAAACAGTACATGGCAACTTGGAAGTTCTTGGTGGACAACGATGGCACGCAGATTCACCCTTAAACTTGGTATAACTTGGCTACAGAGCTGCACGATTCTGAGCCCAATCTTGGAGCATAGCCCAATTTTGTAGGCTGAATAGCTTGAATGACCTGCAGTTGATACCTGGGTCTTTCCGGTTTGGCTCAGGCAGTTGGAGTAGCAGTCGGCCGGCGGCATTTTTCCAAGCTTCTCGTCTCAGTGCAAGTTGGGCCAGTTGGGCAAAGGCATAGAAATCCGATGCTGTCAATGACCCTGGAACAGAACTTCACCTAGGACCTAGTTTCAAAGGGGCGCAACCACCCACCAAACAAGTACCATAGAAGATCATGTTTGGGTTTATGAATAGATTGAATAGGGCTTAAAACAAATTAAGACCACTAACAGCCATTACTAAGAGGGTTGGCTCAATGCCCCTGATTGGTGGCTGCTCTGTTGCTTCATGGATTCCCGCCATTGCAACTATCCGCCTGGCAGCGCTCGGCGCGGCGATGAAACTCCACTAGTCGTGTCTTCAACACTTGGCTTTTGCAGCACTGAACAAGACCTCGTTAAAATCACAAAGTTTAAATCCCCTTTATGCAGCCAAGATTGTAGCTATAATTGGGTATGTCTGAAAATGGGGTATACTCCCAATGAAATAGCCATTTAGTAGGGATAATGATCAGCAAAACCATTGGGTGTAGGGGTACACTATTTTCAGACACACCCAATTAACGGCATTATAAGCCAACAAACATCACTGGGGCGTGTCACCTTGTGCATTGCACAAGTTATGGTTCAGGTCTTCAGCCGCTGCTCAGCACCCAGGCGACCAGGGGGCAGGTGACACATCCACCACTGGTACCAGCCTGGGCCTAGAATCCAGCTGGTAGAGTCAGATGTAGAGGACAACTCCACAGGAACCAATGAATTTTAGAGTATAAACATGTAGAAAAACCATGAAAAACCCTGATGTTTCATGTAAGATTTAACAACTTTCCCCCAAAAACCGATCAGTTTACATTGAGAGACGGTTTATCATCCCGTTCCCCGATCATGTTCATACCCCAAACCTAGGCTTTATCATCGCTTTATCCCATTCATCTCCACAAAGCCTTTGTTGGTTTTATTGATGTTTAAATGTGTGTTATAGCAAACAATCACTTTTGCGCGTGGGCGACCCCATATTAATCGATCAGGGTCAAGAGTCATTTCGGCCTATAAATTAGACAATGTTCCGGTGATTGCAAGTTTTGTAAGTTGTGTTAACATTGCTTGGGAAAATCACGATTCCGATTTTTAATGGGAATCATCTATCAATGGGATTATATGGGCCATATTCCATAGCCAATTATGTTCAATTACCAGAGAGTACATTCATCCGTCATCTTGTGGTCCTGGAATTGCCCCTGGAGGCACGGCTTGAGCGGTTGCTTTTTGGATGTACCAAGCTGCTTGAAAAAATGTTTTTTTTGGCGTGGCGTGCCACATGAAATCCTAGGAATCAAATTCCATCTGTAGCCTTTCTTCATATTTTAAGAACCTGAAGAGACCTCGAACTGTAGGTTCTTGGAAGTTGAAAAAGCCAACGGGATTGATCAATGATTGAGTCGACCTGCACCCGCACTTTCTGTATATATAATATATATGCTGTCACTGGGATGGGGATGGAACACCTTTTGGCCACATTTTTTTTCGGTGTTCGCCACCACCGAGATCAAGCTCCAAACCATCCATCGCCGGCTTTCAGTGAGCCCACGTGGGTAATATGATCTGGTTGGTGGTTTCAACCTACCCCTCTGAAAAATGATGGAGTTCGTCAGTTGGGATGATTATTCCCAATATATGGGAAAAATGGGAAAACATGTTTGAAACCACCAACCAGATAACCAGTATGGTAATATGATGGTTGGTATGGGTCGATATGGGTTGATTAGATCATCCTGGTGGGAATTGAAGGACAGAAAGTTTCAGCCAACAACTCCCACTGAATGATTGGTTTAACCAAAAAATGCGATCGTTGCAACCGACTCTCAGTTGTAGTAATTCCTCTTCTTCAGCGAAGTTGCATAGTAGCTTAACCCATACACATAAGAGATAAACCTACGGGCTCTGCTTGCCACTGCCCATCTTATGCCTGAAACCACCAAGCACTTGCTACTGTTTTCCAAAAAACTAGTATCTACGTTGGTTTTTGCTTTTTAGGTGTCAAGACCATCCAAAACAAGGGTCACAGCGTGGTCCAACCAGTAATTATTTTGCTTACCTCATGAGAAATCACGAAAATTCTCACGTACTGATTGGTAAATCACCACTATAAATTTCCGTGGCTTAGGTGTCCAGGATGATTGATATGTTTCAATTTTCACTTCTCAGCCTTCCCATTTCGCGTGGACGCTTGCCAACCTTCCGTGACGGCTTGCCGTAGTGCCGTGGTGCTTTATATAGATAAGCCCAGACACATGACAGCACTGGACCTTTGGCCACAGGCCTTTTTGTGTCTGTAAAAGTCGCCGTCGGCGCGCGTTGTTGGTGAAAAATACACCAAGTTTTCAGGTGAAACCAGTACAAAAAGATCAAAAAGCAAAGCAAAGTGAAAACTCGACTGTTTTTTTCACTCTAAGCCCATCAGTTCTTCTCAGCTGACTTTCGATCTTATGTAAGTTGACTTTGGCTAATGCGATCAGCTCGGCAGCGGGAGGAGTATGGCTATCCTCGTGCAAACTTGACCCTGTAAATCCCACATGAAGGCTACCCGCAAAATAGGTCGGTAAGTTGCTTCAAAGGTCCCTTATGGTCCTTGAACTGGTGAACTTTATAAGTAGTGGACATGATCAATTGATTAACAGTGACCAATAGTGATACATAGTGATTTATAGTGATGGTAGAATGAGTCGATGATTTTTTGCTTATTTTGCCAATCAGACATCCACCATGACTTGGGAGTCGGAATGGGGAATACTATTTGTCTAAAAGGGTGGTTCCTTAAGCAAATCCAAGATGATAGCGAAATAATTTCGACATGACTTCTCCAGTGATGGAAAATCATAGGAAAGTCATTGAGTTTCAGCTGCCTTCCAGGCCCTCCAGTCAAAGAAATGCAAAAAAAACAAAATCATCATCCGTATAGCATTATTGATCACTGTTTGTTCACTATTAATAACTATTATAATCACCACTATTATAATCAGTATGAATCATTGTATAATGTTGACCTACAATTTTTAAACTCCCCTTAAATAAAGTTAATTTTCCAAAAAAAAATATTAAATGACCCCTAAATAAAGCTAATTTTTTTCTGGCCCTTAACCCAGATTTGCCCAGATGGGGCTGATCAAAACCTTTATTCAAAAATGATAGCTGGAAATTGTCAAAAATGATGGATGCTCTTTCTATTCAAAACCTTTACTTAAACTTATCCAAAATCAACTCCAAATCAACTCATCAAGGGTACCCCCCATGAGGTGCCTTAGCACCAATTAGAGTTTGACCCTGAATAAAGCTACTGAGCTCCCCCCTCCCGCTGATCAAGAAATGAATACTAAATCAATACTATATCCATGAAATGAGTACTAAACCAATACTAAATCCATGAGGTGAATACTAAATCAATACTAAATCCATGACATGAATACTAAATCAATACTAAATCCATGAGATGAATACTAAATCAATACTAAATCCATGACATGAATACTAAATCAATACTAAATCCATGAGATGAATACTAAATCAATAATAAATCCATGATATGAATACTAGATCAATACTAACTAAATCCATGAGATGAATTTTAAATCAATACTAAATCCATGACATGAGTACTAGATCAATACTAAGTCCATGACATGAGTACTAGATCAATACTAAAACAATTGCTGGATTTTTTTTTGAAATTGCATTTTATGTATATATTCGTTTTCAATTGTGGTAATTTAAAACCTTTACATACAAACAAGTTTGATGGTGGCTTTAAGTTTATTTAGGTGAAAAGAGGGGGGGGGCCTATTTATAAATCATAGGTGGACATTAGTATCATAATAACTCTTGATCAGTACTACTAATCATTTTATAATCGCTATGAATCACTATTAATAACTACCATTTAGAGTGTGTTTCCCCTGCGAATCTCATTGTGTCGACAGGTTTCTCCTGCCGCAACTCTTACGGTTGGGCGCTGGGAGTCGTCGAAGGTGGCACCTGGCGCGTCTTCAGCGTGGGCGGTTGGTCCTCCGGGAAAAGCCAAAAAAGGCTGGGAAATGGTCGTCTAAATGGAGGTTAAAAGGCTGGGAAAATCATCTGTAACTAGTAGATTCCATGTAGATTACATGCTTGATTACTGAAGGGTATGTTTTTGATTGTTTTTGGGGTCCGTATTGTTCGTATGTTTCATTTTTTCTTAGGGTTCCTTGAAACATACCATGTTTTTTGTTTTTTTTTCCTTATGGTCCCTGCAGTAATCAACATTGCATGTAGCATGTTATAAATTACATAACACAACCATAAAATAATAAATAAGGCTAGTTATTTCATGTTCATAACTTCATAACATCATACTACAGTTTGCTCATACATCATATAATCATATTCAGTAATATGACATAATATCACTATATTTACCCTCTGGTAAACTAACATAGCTATTGAAAATGGCCATTTATAGTGACTTTTCCCATTAAACATTGTGATTTTCCATACCTATGTTAGTTTACCAAAGGGTATCCCGTGGCCATCCTGGTGACTTCCTCAAAAAATCCACGGCACCGTTACTTGGCGCCGTTCAGCACCGCGTCACGGATCCGGATGGTGAATGCTGCGTCGGAGGTCCCGGATCTCATCTTCGATGTGGGCCACCTGGCGGATCTGGCGGTCGGGACGAACGCTAGGCACCCGTTTTTTGTGGAGAACGCTATGGGAGAAATGGCAGTTGAATAATGTTTAATATAGAAATGGGTAGTTTAATGATTTACCAATTTATGTTAGTTTGATGATTTACCCTCTGGTAAATTAACTTGTGGACCCTGAAAATGACCAATTTATAGTGGAAACTAGTCTTCCAACCCCGATGAATGCCAGGGTCTATGTTAATATACCGGAGGGTAGACATGTCTTATGGTTAGACTTTGTTTTGGTAAAAATCATGGAACGTGCGTTCTTTCTCTGATGGTTGCGCAACGGAAGTTGACATCTTATGTGACTGATGGTTGTGCAAAGTGGTGGTGCTCTTGCGACCCCTTAAAGAGCCGACTGAATATACTGAATTGCAATGGAGGGAAGTGGAGGGAAGTCGCACAGAGAAATGACCCTTACGGGGAATCCATGGGATAAAAGTGGTAGATTCCCCGAGGAATTATCATTAATCACATGGTATGATGGTATGAATCAGATATGATGGTCAGATAATGTAAAAATGGAATCATTCATATGGTATAATGATTAATGGTCAGATTAATGAATCGCACGCCGCAATCAACAATCTTCCCAGCCATAGTTCGCCTCCGCGGCTAGGCCACCAAAAATTGCCGAACTTTGCCATGTTTCAGGAAGCCGCAGGATGAGTTCAATGGTTGATAATTGATTCCCATTATCATCATCCCATCTTATTTCATAAGATGGTCAAATCCCATCTGGTTGGTGGTTGACCTACCCCTCTGAAAAAATCATGGAGTTCGTCAGTTGGGATGATGTTATATATTCCCAATAATTATATGGAAAGTCATAAACATGTTCCAGTCACCACCAACCAGCCATAGTCAGTTTTCCCATTCATGATCCCATATGATCAGTTAAATCATCCACAACTCGCCAAGGCTATGCCTTGGAGGCAAGGCCGCCAAGGCACACCGCTGCGCACCAAGCGGATCATTTTCATCATCATCAGGTCGCGGACGGGAATCTCCAGCAGGAAGATGTTCCTCACCATGGGGATTCCATGGATCGGTATACCCGTTATCCGGTAAGGAAAAACTTGATACCTACATTTTTTAAGGGTGACCTGAGAGGGGTGAATGTATATGTAAATCTACATGTTCCATGGATCTGGGTCATAGTTTGGGAGAAATGAACGTGGTTTGAGCAGGAACTGAAGAAAAACGGGATCTGGGATCTTAACATATCTTAATACAATTTAACACATATGCGGCGTATTTTTGGAAGGAGCATGTATAATCTCGGAGGTTTGCCAACAAACCAGTTGCAACGCTAAGTTCTGAACCGCAATAACGGGATACAGTGAACAAAATTTGGATGTAACCAGCAAACCATGGACGGTTAACAAACGAACTGGGGATTCAATGAGCAATGAACCATGGCTCTGGGACAAGTGTTCTGTACCTTACAGTAGAATGGCTATGTATGAAACATGGACACTCACAGTTATAAGTGGACTAACCCTACTTACCCTATATACTTAAAAGTGGGGTTACAACATGTTGTAACACAGCAACTGGGGCCACTAAGCAGTTTTGTGGCCTGATTACTTCATGGAAACAAAACGGAAACTCCAGGTGTTTTATCCTCAACTCTTGACTGATGTCTGGATAATGTTGTACCCTCCTGTAAACTAACTATAGCTATGGACCATGTGCATTTATAGACTATAATTATAGATGGTTTACCTACAAAACATATCTAAGAATGCTGATTTTCGATCGCTATATGTTAGTTTACCTTAAAGCCTTAAAGGGCACTTAATGCCATCCGTAACCATCCCCAATCATCCTGCAGCACAGCAGTCAGACAACCAGCTACAAAGCATGGCAGCATGGAGGTTGTACCCTCTGTTAAATTAACATAGACCCTGCCAGATAGGGGTTGGAAGATTAGTTTCCCCTAAAAATTGGTGATTTTCAGGGTCCACAAGTTAATTTACCAGGGGGTAAATTGTTCAGCCAATGAGACTGCTTCAAATATCCTGAGAATTGGAGCATTGAAGATATTGAAGTCGCCATCCACACATGCAACAACGACAATTCGAGGACGAAATGCGGCGAAATCTGGGCAAAAACTTGGCGCCAAGTCTTCGCCGCCAAGATTCATGCACCCCTCGATGAACTCGGCACCTTAGCCGATGAAACCATCCAGCTGCCCCAAACTACCTGTATACTACACCCATGTACATCAATCTACATATCATTAGGGCTTATGGCATATATAATTACAATATAATATATATATATATATTAATTATACAATTATATACATACGGCATATGTATACCCGTATGCCCGCAAAGCTCAAATCAGCCGTGTTTGGGACGATTCCCTCTAGTTCATATGTTGGTCGACACTCATGGTCCCAAACAGGGCCCCATTTTCCCCACATGCCTCTATTCTATTCATCACAATGATTTGAAATTCAGCTAACATTTCCCGATCAAAACTTGGGTGAGTCCATCTTTGGTAGGTGAAAATGTAGTTTTTCCGAAAGTGCAACATCGCTAGTATGAACAGAAAGGCTAACTTCTGGTAATTTAAGAACAACATCATGTTTATATAATAGGTACATTGATGAATCAACATCATACCCTCTGGTAATTTAACATAGCTATTGAAAATGGCCATTTATAGTGGATTTCCCCATTAAAAATGGTGATTTTCCATAGCTGTGTTAAATTACAAGAGGGTAAATCATCTATAATAAATGGTCCATGTTTCATAGCCATGTCAAATAAGCAGACCCAGATGCTCCATGTAAGGAATGTATACCTACATTTACCCCAGTTTATAACCCAAATGTAGCTATCTTAATATTCCTTACATATAGAGCATCTGGGATATTTAATGATGGTTTTCATGATGGTTTTCATCATGGTTTGGTCTGCAAAAAACCCGTTCAACGTTTAACCCACTCGAACTCTACCGAAAATCATGGCCGGGTTACTCTTCAGACTGCCGGACTTGTCCACGTCGAGCTTTTCAAAGAGCTCCGTCATACCTCGAAACTTCCCACGGCGAAAAACAGGATTTTCACCCAAAAAGGGGATTTCTAACCAGCCCATATAATCCCTCTCTCCATCGCAAACCAATCGTTCTTTGGGCAATATCATTTAGGGAATATATATATGATATAAATTGGGACTATCATGATATATACCTTCTGGTAACCTAACATAAATCATATACAAACAGGCCATGTTCCCTTCCTTTATTACCTTACCGGGTACTGCTTAAAATTCCATGAGCCACAGGAAATGATCCAGCAAATGGTGTGTTGTTCCATATCTATCCTAGGAAAACTGGAGGAAAACCAGCAACGATCAAAAACACTGGTCACTGGCCATTCCAGGAACCGATTTATTGGAGGTACCTACCATATATAAGGCCTATTTTTTAGGCCTATGTAAGGGAATATCCCCACAAAATATGGCCTTCTTATATGGTACAGCACCTCCATTTTAGGATCCTGAAATTTCCATTGAACTGGGAGCCGGATCGAAACATCCATAGAACACATGATGCCACAGTACCGATGGTTTAGTACTGCGGGTCAGCTGACTATGGACTTGACTGGGCTCCTAATACACTCAATCTAAGGACCATCAGCTTCATTCGCCCCAATTCAGTGATTCAGATCAAACATATATAAAATGAGATGCTTACTTAAACATCAGGGAAATTATCAAATCCAAACGACAAAAATAAACTTTCCAGACTATAGGTGAGTTTATAACATGTTATAATCCTCATGAGTGCGCTATTAATTAGTTCGATATATCATGATATATCTACAAATATCTACAATAAACATCAATAAACCATAATAATCCCCAATTTTATTGGAGTTGTGTTCACCAACTTAGCGATTCAAAACACTCAGCCCAAAAACATTCGATGCAAATCAGAAAATCCCCAGTTCTTCCATGGTTTTCCGGCTTTTGCAACGAGCCACTGGCCACGGAGGCTTTGTCCAAAATGTCTGCGGGAATCTCTGCGCGCTTCTCGCGTTCAGCTGCTTCAATCCTGGTTCGGAATCTCCAAAATCGTGGCCACGACGAATGGGGATAGCTATGCCATGGCGCCATAGCTCGTTGATTTATCATGATTTATCTATTTAAAATGGTGATTTTCCATATGTTATCTTAGTTTACTGGAGGGTCATCTAAGAAAGCTATATGGAAAATATTGGAAGATGGTCCATTTAGTTCAGGGATTTGCCAGCGGCCCGCCATGTTTGAGGGAGGGTGAGTTGAGTGAAAGCTAGGCGAATGATTGGATTTAATGAAGGATATGTATATTCAACTAGTTAGATGATGATAAATGCAGTAGCACAAATCACTTGGTCATCATTCATGTTGGCGAACAACAAAACTAGGCTGTCGTCATTGTGCTGGTCAATTCACCACAAATCATCATCATCATCATCATCATCATCATCCTCAACCTCCTCATCCTCCTCATCCTTATCCTCATCATCATCATCATCATCATTATCAATAATAATCACAGTCATGTACATATATATATATATATACACTAAAATAAAAGTAGATGGCTCAACTCAAAAACCAAAATACCCATAAGATGGCACCGCGCGCTGAGAAAGAAAACGTCGCTATTTTAGCTGGAACATAAAACGAGGTCCGCCAATTGAAGAAAAAATCGCCCTACTTTAAAATGAAAAGGTAGATGGCACAACTGCCACTCCAGTAGATGGATATAAGGGTATTGTGAACTAAATTTACTACATTTCCTATCATTTTTGTTTGTATATACGGTGAAATTGCACGAATTTGTATTGTATAAAATGAGTTGCGCCATCTATGTCCCTTAAATCCCATTCAAACGCCAGGTTGGTTGATGGATGTCGGGAGATATGAGGGAGTTGCGCCATCTATGTGACATTCCCAGCCTGATTTTGGCGAATGAGTGGGAGTTGCGTCATCTATGTCCCTGAAAATGACCTATTTTTTGCAATCTTCTACGCTCTGGCAATTTGCCACTTTGCTTGGCCCTGGAAAACGGGCCCCACCAAGTCCCCCGAAAAGTGGCTTTTTCCTGAGTTTGCCAAAGGAAACTTGACACTTGGTGGGGTCCGTTTTCCGGGGCGAACCCAAGTGGAAAATTGGCACTGCGCTGGTTTCTCCCCATGTTTTTTCTCAACATCAAGCTGCCTTTTTGGGCATAGATGGCGCAACTCCCACTCGTTCGCCAAAATCAGGCTGCAAATGCCCACATAGATGGCGCAACTCCCTCATATCTCCCGACATCCATCAACCAACCCAACCAAAATATGCCACATCGATCAGAGTTATCCCAAGACAGAAGGCAAAACCACCAGGAAAGACATCAGAGTTGTCCCCAGACAGGAGGCAAAACCACCAGGAAAGACATCAGAGTTGTCCCTTTTTGGGACATAGATGGCGCAACTTCCGTCATTTTGCCAGCAAAGGTCGAGACGCTTTAAAACCAAATTTTAACAGGTGACCTGAGGAACCGTTTCTTGACGGCAAAAACGGTTCCTCAGGTCACTTGTTAAAGTTGGGTTTTAAAGCATCTCGGCCTTTGCTGGCTCAAAATAACTTCCGTCATTTCGCCAAAATCAGGCTGGGAATGCCCACATAGATGGCGCAACCCCGGGAGTTGCGCCATCTATGTCCCAAAAAAGCAGCTTGATGTTGAGAAAAAAATGGGGAGAAACCAGCGCAGAAGATTGCAAAAAATATGTCATTTTTAGGGACATAGATGGCTCAACTGCCCTGTTTTAAAGGGAGTTGAGCCATCTATCCTCCATTTTTTTTTTGACATAGATGGCGCAACTCAAGATTCTGAGCCATCTACTTTTACATTAGAGTATATATAGCAATCAATGATAGTATTAATGTTACCCTCTGGTAAACTAACATAGCTATCGAAAATCACAATTTTTGATGGGAAAATCCACTATAAATGGCCATTTTCAATAGCTATGTTAGTTTACCAGGGGGTATATATGGTGTCCCCCAGTTGAATTGGGTGTCCCTGCCTTTGGATTCAGGCCCTAGGATCTGCTGGTTGACCATCAAATATCAACGCCTAACAAAACGGAAAATGCACTGGACAAGTAAAATTCGTACATGGTCTACGCTAGGAAAATTGCTTAGATACATTTTAGCTTCCTCAAACCAGTTTTTTTTGTCAGGCTTTCTTGTCAATTTCAGAGTAGGTAGGACAAGTGCTTTATCAACATTTCCATCTATCTGAATCTATCTGCTGCTCCATTTGCTGCAATGAATTCCATATCTGCTGCTCCATTTGCTGCAATGAATTCCATGTCAACTCTGGCCGAATCAAATTCTGTCGATTCAGGATCCTGCCCCTCCTGAATTTCTACAGTAAATCGATCTTAAAGTTGGCAGTTACATGTATAGTGATTACATACCCCCCATGAAACATCACCCAACGGGGATCTCCCAACAAACACCACAGCGGTGCCAGGGCGCTCTGTTCTCTGAAGCTCGCCACTCTTGTCCTCGGGTGATACTCGATGATACTCGGTACCCTATGTTCAAAGCCAAATATCAAATCACATCAGAGCCTTGGTTATTTATAATATATATATATATAAATATATATATATATAAATATACATATGTATATTACAATAGCCCTTTATATTCACATGATCTATCCCCATTCAATCCTATTAATCCAAATAATACCGGCTCATGATTACCCCAAAGAACTGGGAAAAACTATGGCACCTAATGTTTTTCTTGAAATGGTGTCCCTTAAACAACCAATTCATTTCCCAGATGCTCCATATGTAAGGAATATTTACCTACATTTGGGCTATATTTGGGGTAAACGTAGGTACATATTCCATACATATTCCCTTACATAGGCCTAAAAAATAGGCCAAACATATATGGGATTGGTATCTCCAATTTTGGTTCCTGAAATGATCATTGAATACATGAAGCATCTAGGTTTAGGATGGTTTAGGTACGATTCTTTAGGCACCCCAAGTCGTCGCCTGAGCCCCCAAAGACTGCCAATGCCAAGACTCCGTATCCAGGCTCTCGAAGAGCCTAATGGGTCATTGTCTGATCAAATTTGGTAATCCATTGGGGTCCTGAAAATGATGATCCACTGGTCAATAGCTATCACAGTTATGGCCATTTATGAAAGTTATGACTGGTTATAAGTGGGATTATACATTTTATAAATGGGGTTATAAGTACTTATAACTGGTAAAGGGCCATAACTGTGGTCAATAGCTATCATAATAATAAGGGGTCACTGATCATGCATTGGATATCATTGGATCATCATGATCCTCTCATTGAAATTTTATATGTGGGGCCTTCCACATTCGCTCAACAAGGGCTAGAGTCCGCCCCCGCCAAGTTAGGACACTCTGTGTCCAAACAGTTCAAAGCGAACCAATGCTCAGGTTCCATGCCACGCCTTAAGCGATACGCCCCCACTTTCTCCATTTCTGTCTGGAAACAAATGAACAAAAATCCAAGTATGTAACTTTGCAGTTGGCCCGAACGCTGAGACTACACTTCGCCAAGGTAAAACATTGCCAATTCTCCAAGTATCACCCTGGTGAGGCAGGTTGGAACGGTTGGACATCAGGAATTTCAGCGAGATCATTCAACCAAAAAAAAAGAATGGATTTGCTGAAGGCCTACCTCAGCAAACTGGTTCTTAGTAGATCACCTCTGGGGCATCCAGAATATGAAATGAGATGAACTGTGGCAGCCCCCAGAACACCATGCACAATGTTCATCAATGTTCAGGGTCAACCTTAGGCAACAACTATCTCTGCAGCTGGGCATTCTTTTCCCTGATTTATGGCAAACAAATTATCTAGTACAGTAGCCGAAACAAGGTTTACCTAGCTTGCATATCATGTTAAAATCATAGAAACCTATCGCTACTCCCCATCAACCCAATCACCTATTAAGTTTGTATGAAGCCGAAAGGGCTTCCCACTACTTCGAGAATCACGAATCGCAATTGGTTAGTAACTAGGGTTATAGGTTAAAAGTTATAAGCCAATAAAATGTGTCTTAAATGGGACAATTCGCTTAGGGGACTTGCAAACCAGGGTTACTAACCACTCACATACTAACTGGGATCCTCCGAGTAAACTGCAACACAATTATGCACAAGAATCTAACAACTGATCCCAAGGACACGAAGATCTGTATCAATTTGTACCTCGAAAAAAAAAACATATAACAAACTGATCCAACTGGAATCCCGGCAAAATCAAAATGTATCTACATAATGTTCTCTTTCCATCTCTGCCGGGTCCAGTTATAATTACATTTATAACTATGATGAGTAGCATAATGTCATAATAAAATCTATGGCAACATGTTCCAGCCAATCAACCACCAAAAACAGCTCTGTGGTTTCAACTTTGTCAACGGTGGGGTCATCATCGCAGTCACATGGGTTGAAACCCATACGATCCCCATGATGCAAAAATCATCTTCACTCCCACTGTTCATGGGTGAAATACCCCTACCCTCTGGTAAACGTTTACAGTTTGCTATTGAAGCCATGGCCCAGTCGAAATAGTTGTTTTACCCATGAAAAATGGTGGATCTTTCCATCGTTGTTTGAATGTTTACCAGAGGGTATAGTGGTTAATAGTGGTTATATAATCGTGGCTTAATAGTGACCAATAATGACGTTAATAGTGGTTGACCATTTCATAGGTGAAATACCAATAACAGAAAGCGATGATTTCATGGCGTTTCCCCTCCATCCAAGTGGCGATTGAAGCTGTGGGATCATTTCCCGAAATTTGCTGTTGCTCAGCTTCACATCTTCCCTCGTGCCGTGGGAGAACCGGTTCCCTTAAAAAAAACCACGCAGGGACGCCTACACTCAAACAACACATCCAAACAATACTGGCTGGTAGTTATATAATATATGTTAATATACTGTTAAGAATGGTTAATATATGGTACTTATATGGTTAATGATGGTTAATAAGTGTGTATATAACTCCAATTTCACTATGGTTTATGGTAGATATATCCATAATTACTATTCTGGCTGGTGGTATACCTACCCCCCTGAAAAATATGAGTTCGTCAGATTGGATCATCATCCCAACTATTGGGAAAAATAAAAGCCATGTTCCAAACCACCAACCAGAATATGATATACATCTGATATACAGAGTCACCAGTGGATGAATGCAAATACTGGCTACACGCAGTGATTTTGACTTTAAGTGTTCAGGATTTTGGGTTTTAATTTAGGGTTTGAGGTTGTAGGTTTTAGGGTTTTAGGGCTTTAGGGTTTGTTGTTTTGGAAAATAAAAAACTTAAACCGTACGCAGGGATTTGAGCATGTCAAAGGATATGCGGGGTTCGCCGCGGGCAAACCTAGGGTTTGCAGCGAACATCTTTAACGCTATAATATGCTATAATTATCATAAACTTCAGGTTGCCGACCTAACATTTTTTTGGGGGATGAAAAATATGAAATAATATGAGAAATGAAAGTGTGACACCATCAGGTTTCTGCAACAGGAATGATGGAATGGGTACCCTTGAGAAATATTCATGGCAACTCAAGGTCATGTTTTCAATGCCTGGTGCAGAAGCATATAGTATACCCTCTGGTAAACTAACATAACTATGGAAAATCACCATTTTTAATGGGAAAATCCACTATAAATGGCAATTTTCAATAGCTATGTTAAATTACCAGAGGGTATATGCAGAATATGTTATGCCCTGCGGTAATCAAAAATGGTAATCAAAGATGGCAATGGAAATTCCTCCATTTATGCACATTTCTCTCTCTCGATGTTTTTTCCTACTGAAATCTCCGTTTATAAGGGATTTCCCAACCAGCTTAAGTTATATCCGATATATCCCATTCTTTTCCCATTACCCTCTGGTAAACATACAAAAAACTATGGAAAATCACCATGCTATTAATGGGAACATTCACTATAAATGGCAATTTTCAATAGCAAACTGTTAGTTTACCAGAGCGTATTATATGGCAGTGTGTCAAAACCTTCTACCCCTGGTGAACATCAAAGTAGCTGGGATTTATGTCTAATCGGAGTCAGATGAAACACACAAAGTGCAATGGCAAATGCACGGACTCAATGCTGCAATGTTTCACCCATCCATCGGTCACAATGCGAAAAGGTAACAACGCTCTCAGGGCCCCTTAAGCCAAGCCACAAGGTGCAAACGGTATCAGCTGGTTGACATGGATTGCATGACATTTTCACTGGTGTTTTTCTTTTTTGCACCTTGGGGAAAAAGGTATTCCTCATATGGCTGGTTTTCTGGTGACTCGGTCAAAACGGCAAGTGGCATATTGAGCCATCGCCTGAAAGCTTCCAGAAGCTTGTCATCTGTCTTCGTCAAGCCGTCACCAAATTGAAAACGTGTTGGGACCCATCGAATTTCTTTACTCGAAATTGTTTCCTGAATTGCCCTGATGCTCACCAGGGTTCGCTTATCATTGAGTGATGGGTTCTCACTCATGATTGCATCAAACAACGACTTGGCATCTACAGCTTGGAGGGTGGCTAACCTACTACCTACTCGGTGAGCTGCTTGGTTATACATCAGTTCACTTATGAACAAATTCACATAGGCTAAGCGGTCAGCGCACTCATCAGCAGCGGTCGCCTCAGCAGCCAAAGTTGATCGGCAGACTCGCGGTGAACGAGCTGAGCGCCAATCCAGCAAAGTAAATGGTGCCATTGTGGTCTTGACGGATGGAGTCGTCAGGCCCACCAAAACTCCGATCTGGCTGCCAGACTTTCGCGCATTCGCCCAGCTGCTGTCACTATATCCCAGCACTACAGAATCACGGGTGAATGGTACATCCATGATGTTGATTCCATACTGCGGGGTCTCTTTGACATACTTGAGAGTGGCATGCAGCTGTTTCAAGTCTGTGATCTTTGCCTCTTCGCCATGGCCAGACAGGCTGACCGTCGCAGCAATCTCAGGTCGGGCCTGGGATGCGGCCCATTGCAAACATCCGCAAATGCTTCTCAGTTCCTTGCGCTCGTCCAATGAAAGCTCAGGCGAACCTTGCAATCGACCTTTGGCAATGGCGCCAAACTCGATGCCTTCCAGAAACTTCTTCAATGTGATGTGCAGATAGAAGCGCTGGTGCTCATTGCGCTTCAGGGTCAGTTCCTTTCCCTTGAAGGTTATTGGCTTATTTTCTTGGAAGTAATTCAGAGCTCCCCATTTGAACAAACCATGAACTGAACTAAGGTCATGGTCAGACCTACTTATGCCAAGGAAATCATCAACATAAACAATGATGGCAGCTATGATTTGGCCGTCCTTTCGCAGAAGGTACAGCTGCCTGTCGAAGTCATGTTGTGTGAAGCCCAGGCTCTGCAGTCGGCGGCAAACTTCTTTGCTCCAAGTGACTGGTGCATCTGCTAAGCCATACACGTTGCCACGAACTCGATAGAGTGGAGCTGACCAGTGCTGCGTCATAGAGATCAGTCCATCTTGAGGAGGTCGTAGAAAAAGTGGCATAGTGCGATCAGCATTTTGTCCTTGCAGAAAAGCCGTAGAGGCATCTCCAGTCCAAGCTATCCATGAAAGAGTGGTATCAAAGAGTTCGCAGTTCAAACCTGCGACAAGCATGGCATACATGATCTGCTCAGTGCAACGGCTTGGAGTTCCAGCATTGCGGTTCAAAGTTGCTAGGTCTGGATCAAGGTGTCCAAGCGCCACTATGCGACACTTCGGCTGAACTTCTCCAATGCCGCAGGCTTTGTCACGATAGCACGCTCGTGACGGCAGAATTCTTTTGGAAAGCAAGGGGTCCTTCAGAACCTTCTGAGCTTCTTCTGGTGAAAGAGGTTCTACTGAGTTCCATTCAAGCCATGAGTTGGCCTCTTTGGAGATCGCGGCCAAGAACTTGTCAACGTAGGCTGGAGGCATTGCTAAGATTGTCCTCCATGGAATCTCACGATCCAGTGCCTTCTGTTCTTGCCGAGAGAGGCCTTGCTTGTGAATTGCCATGTCTTGTGCTCTCTGTGTTTGTCTTTGATGCTTCATGCTTTGTATCTTGCTGTGTAGCTTCTGCTGCAGTGCCTGTTTGTTCTTGGCATCTTGTCTGTCAAGCTGCTTGTTGTATGTCTGCTTGCCGAATGCTTGTTGGTGAAGGGCTGGTTGTTCGTCGGGCTCTTGTTGCTGGCCCTCATGTGCTGTATTGTTGTCGTCGTCTGATTCATCTGCCGTGGTGTCTGATTCATCAGGTGATTTACCAGGGGCGTTGCGCAGGTCTTCACGGCGTTGGCTTGTGGCCCAATAGGCCTGTTGAAAAACCCTTGAGGCTGGTCCATAGCACGGCTGTGCGTGGACGTGGGTTGGATCACGGTGGATCACGCCTTGCTCATCTTGGACCAATGTTGTCATCATGGACTCAAAGTCCCGTTTTTGAGGTAGTGTTGGCAATGGTCCATCTCGCATTGGTTGTGGTGTTTCTGTTCTTAGTGGGGCGGACGTAGTAGTGATCGTCTGTTGTGGTTCTGGAGAAGGTCTATGTGTAGTTGATGTTGTAGGTGGTGTTACTTGTCGAGATTGTGGTAGTTGTAGTGGAGGTGTTGATCTCCCTGAGGAGACGCTGATGGCTTGATCATCTGCTGTGATCGGTGGTGTTTGTGGTATGAAGCCATCTGGTAGTGCTGAAGTAGGGTGTTCTGTTGCCTGCTGCCGTGTGTTGGATCCTGTTGCATTGGATCCTCTTGCCTGCGATGCCGGTGTGTGCTGATGCTCTGTGCTGCCAGGTTGTGCAGGTAGTTCTTGATATGGGTCTGCTAATGCATGCCGCTGGCTTGGTTGTGCATCAGGTGGGAAGTCCAAAGTGGCTTCCTGTGGTGAAACTGCCGTGGTGGGTGTTTGTTGAGGCGCCTGTGTTAGGCGTCTGCTTGTTGGTGTGCGGGAACGTCTTCGTGAGACTGGTGTTCCTGGCACATGTCCATATCGGTGAAACTGCTGTTGCTGGATGAGCTGGTTGGTGACTCGCTCTGGGCTGGTGTGCAGGTTGATGGTCGTGTTGTGTTGTTGTTGTTGATGGTGTGCTTGTATGCTGGTTTGTTGCATGGTTGTCGGCTGTAGATGTGGTATTTCAAGTTGTGGTTGTGGTGACATAGGTTGAATTGCTTGTGACTGTTGTGGTAGTGATGGCACTGTTAATGCCAAGGGCTCGTTCAGCTCGGCATTGATGTCGAGGTTGGCATTGGTGTCAATGGTGTCGTCATCGACCATCAGGTTGTCTGGTGGTGGTGGACCCTGCTCATCCCTCAAGAGATGGTCGCTGAACTTCTGAGAGGCATCACGAAGTGCTCGGATGTCAGCTTCTTCAGGGGTCCACTGCTCAAAACCAAATGCCGCACGCAGCTGCTCGGCGGTCACCAAAATTGAAGTCGCTCCAGTCTTCACCCAGGCTTGTTTTCCTGGATGACTTGGGTCCCAAGATAGGAACCTTGCAATCACCCAAGTGCCCCGCTTCTTCTGGCCTCTGCGGGCCCAGCGCCAGAAGGCGCAAGGTTGACCTGGCATCAGGTCTGGGATTTTGGTTGCCCTTGTCCTTCTCAGCAAGGCACGTCGAAGGTGTTGAGAAACATCAAGGTCTTGGATGATCTTGGCGGCCTCGGCTCTAACCACCTCAGCTCGAAGTCCAGCATCTGAATCCTGAAGCTGAGCAATCAGTGATGAAGAAGCCAAAACCATAGGATTGCTGAAGTTGCTGTCGATCAACCTTGGCTGCTTCCCAAAAACGGCCTGGTAGGCTGACCGTCCATGGGTGTGGATTCCTGAG